AGTCGTATCGAGATCAACGAAAAAGCGTTTTAAAGGGGAAGATTCCGCGCTTCTAAGGATCGTTCACTCGTTGACCGGAAGTCACTATCTTCGGAATTATAACGGTTCAAAGTTTTCGTAATTTTAATAGCATTTTAATCGAGATTTAAGGTAAATTATGTGACAAATGATCGTGTTCAATATTTTTCGATATTTTCAATCAACTGTCAATAATATATAATGTATATCTGTAGCCGAATAAACAGAACACAACGTAATATAAAAAAATATGCATAAAAATCCGCAATCTATTCGTGACACTATGAAACTTTTCTCAATAATTAATGAATATTGAAGAAATGGATATAGAATATGAATAATGATTAAAAAGAAATGTGGATATGAAAGATTCAAAGATATCTCGATTTCATATGTTGATTAAAACGCAGAACGAATTTTCAAATTCAAATTATGAAAAAATTTTTGCTCGATTTTATCATCCGTTTTTTTCCTTTCCATTTACGTTATCCACCGATAAAGGTTTTGGATTACGTACGACAGAAGGTTAAAGACAGGGTGCCCGAAACGAAGTATCGGATAAACCGCGTGCGAACGGAAGTCGAGTTTCTAATTAAAACCGGATGACCCGTAGAAACAGTCGGTCGATGGTGTTCGATTGTTGGTTGCATACCTATCGTGACCCAAAGTCAGGCAACCAGAACCCCAAGATCGTAAAGCAGTAAATTGAACCGCGATCACGTCTCGTCTGCGAAATGGCTTCGACCAGAAAACGCTTTGCGTAATCGGAAGGAACAGTGTTTCACCCACGTTTCCAACTATATCGATACTTTGTCATCTCGACGTTTTAACGTCACGGATAATTTAATTTAAGTAGAGGGAGAAAATAAAAGAGAGATCAAATATTGAATCATCAATGAGGCAAATTACGCATTCCCTTTTTTCGAATAAACTTATATTATTCCTCTCCCATTCTTATAATTCTTTATCTATAAACTGTAAACCCCTTCTCCATTCTAATTTAATTGCAATTGACACTTGCAATGAGCAGAAAAAAAAAACACTTTTCTCTATTATAATAACACGCATTATTCAAATAGGTAAGGTAAATTTCTAAGAGGGACGAATCTCTGAGCGACTTCGATTCGTGACTTTGGAAAGCCAATTTTTCTAAAAGGGGCCATCACCGTTCATTAAATCTATTCGGCTTACGTGACAAAAACCGATCCGAGTCGAAGCGAAACAATCTCGTCGTTCACGGGGCGTCGAAACGAGGTCGAACCAAGCACCAGCTCTCCTTCGTTTCGAGTGAAAATCAAACCACGGTTGCACGGATTTAAAAAAAAAAAAAAAACGGGGCGGATTGTACGTCTCTTCCCCCGCGTTCCCAACGTCCCCTTTACGCGGTTAAAGTCGATCCACTGTAAATCCCGACGACGTGAATTCGACAACGCGCAATTCTGATACTCGGTGGCCGGATACTACGGGGGATATTACCACCCCCGTCAGATCTGTTTAATTGTTGTCTAACACCCGGCTGTTCTAATGCCGCCTGACTCCGACCCACCTAAAGGAAACCCGGCTGTCCTTACGGCCGTGTTTCACCGGGGAGCAAAGCCGTTTCGATCCATTCCCTTTCCCACGATAAGGGGATAAGATTAAATCGTGGCTGAGATTAAACCGATCGAGGAATATTCGAAGAATTATTCCAACGATGATCGTCGATCGGATTTCGAATTTTTGTCGTAACGAGGATTTTTTTATTTTTTTTTTTTATTTGAGGAAAATTCGTGCAAATTATTTTTACTCGATTCGATATTTTAACATATAAAATCAAAGTTATCTAATTTGGTATTACGAATATAAAAAGGAATCGTTCTCAAGAAAATTTACAATATTCAAGTTACAATATTCTCGTATAGCTTCTCTATCGTCTGACGGAACACGGACTCGTTCTACTGCCAAATCGATCTTCCGATTTCGAAAAATTTCAACATCGAGAATCACCTTTTATTCCCATCTAAAAATTCATTCCAATAATTTCCCCTTTATAAGAACACATTTCGACCTAGAATTCGATCTACAGCCAATATTAATCTTCTGATTTTTAATCCCTCGTCGAGAGAGAAAAATATCTTAATTGTATTAAAATTAATACACGCGATATTAAAAAAATTAGAAAAAAGTAATACTAATAAATAAGTGGCGTGATAAGAAAGATTTACGTATATTCAAAATATATACAAAATTCTCAATACTCTTTCGTAACAAACAATTCTTATTCGTTTATTTACAGCGACTTAAGAAAGCTTTCGACGTGAAAAATTTTGTATCCCTTATTTAATCCCTCCCTCGAAAACTTCCATTTAAAACGTTCCTCTTTAAACGTATTCGCCCCCACCATCAATTTCATTGACCGTTCACTCGCGCGTCACCAACCTGTTCAAACATCGAAGGCGACAAGTGGGGGAGGGCCATGATCGGCGACAATTTTGTTTAATCGCCGTCTAATGCCCCTAATGTCTCGTTCCATATACCTTTGTCGGTCTAAGGAAATTACGTCCTCGTCCTCCACGTCTCCCCTCCCCTCTGTAGAGAGGCCTCAACCCCACCCCGGCGTAAGACATATCGAGCGTTAAAACTCGATTCCTATTACACGAGGGATTTCATCCTGATCCGGCTTTGACATCTGTACACAAACCAGCGACGAAATGCTCGGAGCGCGACAATTCCGGCCCGAATCTGGGTTGATCGCGAGTATTTATGGGGATCGAGCGGCCATCGTGTGGAACAAACGTGGAAAGACTAATCGAGTTTCAAGGGGAGTGATGACGGAGCAAACGAACAATTATTCATTTTTGGAAGAAATTCATTCTCCTAAAAAATGATCCTAAAATTCTGATTTTTTTTTTTTTTAATAGAGATTTAAAAGAGTACGAAATAATAAAATATCTTTCTTCTTTGAGAAATCGATCGAAGTTTTAACACAGGATGAGACAATTTTAAATTACTGAGATTGTAAAATTGTATTAGAAACTCGATGAAATATAGAAAATCTTGGGGGTTGATTTTGACCTCCGTTCAAAAAAATATTACACATAGAAAATAATAACAATTTTCGTTGCAATTAGGATTTTTTAAATCGGATGAATTTTCTTGCAGGATATCTACTTGTTTAATAGTTCGATCGAAATGTGAAAAATTGGAAAATTTTTAAAAGAGAACCTAACAGAGAATTATTATATATATATATATATATTTATTTATTTTCAGGAGAAATTCGTGAGCTTATTACGACATAGACCGCCACTGTTTAATGAAGATTTCTCTGTACATACCGTGCTCGAGATCTACGCATTCCAGTCTAATCAATAAACAGCAATGATTATTGAAGGTACGCATTCGTCCTCAATTATAGCGATCTCTGGTAACATACGCGGATGCCGGAATAATTGCTTCATTGAGAAATACAGATCGGTATTTCTCAGCTTAATACACCATCATTCCTACCCTTTGTCGATGGAATTTTTGCTCGTTCTCTGGTTACTAGACTCGGTTTAACGTTAAAAACTGTTAATTATCGTGTTCAATATGAGAGTAACGCTAACATTGTGACATTCCTTTAGTATTCTGGGGAGAAAAACGATTATTAAATTACGATCAGAAGTCAATTCTGGATCCATTTCATTAACAATGTATCGACGATTCATCCCAAATAACGACGAGAGATTACAAAATATAACTTGATGAATAATTTGGAAGATAGGAATTAAAAATTATAAAACATCCTCTCTTAAATTAAATGACCAATTGAAGCTTGAATGAGACATCTAAAATATTCCCAAAAGAAGAAAAAAGAAAGAAAGGGAGAGCATTTATACGCACGGTGCATCGTTCAAAATCATTTAACCTTATCCAGGAGAAATTTTATTTCCAACCGCCTCAAAGCCACACCGTTCCTCATTTGCATGAGACAGCCTCGCGGAGAGGATCAACACGAGGTGTACACGCGGAGAAACTGCGACAGGCCACAGTTTTTTAAACGAATATCAGAGGAAACGTGGAAGAAATTGCGTATAATTTTCAATAATTCTAAGGGAAGAGAATTCGCCCGGAACGTAATTTAATCGGGTGTATCTGCACGTATCCTGGCCGATGCTTTATTCAACTTTCGTCCCTTTCTACTGCTAGACCTTCCTCTTCTTATTCTTCTTTTTTCTTTTTCCTTCCCTCTCCCCTCCTTTTTTTTTTTTTTTCAATTGGCGAACGTTGTATATTAAACTCCCGTTTTGTCCTCTCGTAAAGTTACCGTGACGAGGCGGACAAGGCGTTTTATCGTCATCCAACAAAGGCTACTCCCGAGACAGAATGGGATACTTTGATCGTTTCAGTTTTAGCCGGAGGTGCACGGTGGCGGGATAAAGAGAAAAGGCGAGGTCTGCCGATTTACCCGCAGAAACTACACGACTGACTCGCCACTTAATACACCGTAATCCTTTTTAATTAAATGCTCCTTCGATCATCCCCGGTAACAATCTAAAAAGCAGGGGGTAACGATCCCTGGGATTTCAAGCAACGACGAGTGAACCTCGTCGTAACCTTGGTGGTAGTCGGCCGCATTACACGACCGAGTGGAATGATATTTTAAAAGGGGGGGGTGGGTGTCTCCCTTCCCTTGTTGTTTTTCTTCGAGGAGGGGACGTGCAGCAGCACACCGGTGGTGGTCGTAAAGCGATACGATTGATTGTACGTTTATTGGTATCGAAAGGTATTTTGCGTTCGTATTTATGAAATTTTCATAAACGGAGGAAGCTCGCCGATCCGTGCTCCCGTGATAAACGTTGAATCGTGCGAATGGAAATTGATTCGAACGTTATTAAAATTTTACAAAGTAAAATTTAAAATTAATTCCGTCCAAGAAATTAAGGGAATAAGGCTATAAGATTGTGTATGTAAAAAAAAAAATTTCATTTGGAAAAATTTTATGGTTGGAAAACACTCACCGTAACCAGTGTCTTTTCGTAACCGGTGTGTGGCAGCAAATGGCATCGTATTGATCGGCGATCCAAACGATCAGTATAATGTAAAATGCGGTCGTGGTGTCGTTGAAGAACTCTGACATGATTGCCTCCATTCCTGCAACAATTTTTTTTTTTTATGTAATTAAAAATAAAACTATCGAAAATATTTGTCCTTACAGTTATATTAAAAATTTGGATCGATTGAAATATACGAAAGAAGAATGGGCAGAAGAGGAAGAAGGATTATTACGTGATTGAATCGAACTATTCAAAATATTTTCTTATATTCGTCTTAAGTGTTTTTAGAGACAAAGATAAAAATTTGGATCGATTGAAATATATTGAAAGAAGAATGGGCAGGGGAGGGAGGAAGGATTAAAACCAATTAGAAAATTATCGACGTTAAATCGTATTTCCGATACATAACGAACGACATTCTCGAATAATTAACGACAATTTTATCCGCGAAGATTTCGAAGTAAATCCTTCCCGACACAAACGTTTTCTTCCCTTTTCCCTTTGCTGGAAGGATATAGTGCGCGCAGTCGTTAATTGAAGTAGCTGCGTTTGAAAATTTAATTCGAACGAGGAAGAGAGGGAGGGGAGGGAGGAGGGAGAGAGGGAGGGTTGAACAGGAAATTTTCTTTGTCCAAGCGATTTAATAAGGTAAGACGATGTTTTTCTTAGATCCCGTCCGACTTGACATTAAGTCGCATAAACAACCGGGATTATTATTAATTTGCGAAACGAGCGATGAAAAAGAAGGAAGGGTTCGAGAGAATCAAATCGAGAATCATCGTCTCGATCGATAATTAATTATTATCGTGCGACACTAGCGCCGCGCGACACTTAACTGCTTAACTACTTACCGACACACCACCGAGTATTTACCACTTATTTATCCGTTTTTTTAATTCCATTATCATCCACATTTCCATCCACCACTCTATTAAATTTTCTTTCTTTCATCGTTGACTCAACTCTATAATTTTTTCACACTTTGTTGCACGCGAATATTTTCGCAAAGGGGATTTATACGGGAACAACTATTATTAATTCCGAGAAGCAACGAACGAGGTTAACAAATCCGTGCTCGATGGAAGGAAGGGGAGGAGGGAAAAAAGAGGAGAGAACTTTTTCGCAAATATCGAAGCATGCTTCACGGTAATCGATACCGGCAATCGTTCCCTATCAAACCAACATCTCTGTCCTATTAATCGAATAGTTTCCGCGCAATTAAAAGTTGGCGGCACAGAGAGCACAATACCTCCGGCCCGTGTAAATTTAATACCCTCCCCATTTGACCATTATACACCGTTAAAACGATACGTTACAACACGCAGCGCCGTTTTTATTGTTTCCCAGGCGTTGAACGTTAAATCTCACTTATCGGTTGAAACATCGGCCAAGTTATTCCGTTCGAAAACCGCTCTTCCCTTTCCCTCTCATCCCCGTCAAACTAGCCGTGAACCAGCCAGAATTCGGATAGCAATCGCGGATCGAATTCGCGGAAATATGATTGTGACAGTGTTGCAACCGTGTTTGAATTTGTAAAAAAAAAAAAAAAAAAAAAAATCGAAACGTAACAATCGCTTCTTCGAGGATAATTGAGGAGAAAGGGGATGCATTCATCGTTTTTTTAAATTATTGGTAGATAAAAAGAAAAATATAACTCGCATCGTTTGATATAAAATGGAAAATGATCGAATGAATTGAAGTTTAAGGTTTTGAACTTTGAAAAAAACGTTATGAAGGAGAGTGGAGATCATCGTTTAAAGACGAAGGAGAAGAATTAAGATCTGATCGCCGTGAAAGGCAATTCAACTTAGAAATTTACTTAGAGGCAAAGAATTTCAACGTGAAGAAGAAATGTAGACACACGGGAATATTTTACACGCATAATATCTCTCTTCGTATTCTTCGTGCAAACTGTTGCGGGCGGAGAAGAATCCTTTGAATTCACATTCTCTTCTTCAAATTTGTTTGAAGAGAGAAAAAAAAAAAGAAAGAAAAAAAGAAATACCAAAGATTAAAATTACGAGTCTTAAAATTTTTCGATATAATTTCAACTGGAACAGTTGGTTATGTAAAAAACGGAACTCGAAGGAGATCCTCGGTTGAAACTTTCTGGAAAATTTAATATAAATTCCCTCCCTCATCTTGGTTCACTTAGAAAAACTCGCTCGTCGGGGGCATTGTCCCGTTTTTTAAAATTAAAAATATCTATATCGGGTAGATAATTCAAAATAATTCCATACGTAAATTTTCGGAGCGGATTCGCAGGGATCCGATGGAACGCAGAGAGGGGGAAGTTAATGCGTTTCGAGGAAAGTATAGAGAACACAATGTTGTTCGGCTAGCGTGTTTCCTAATGAATTGTAACGATATGAAAACCCCCCCGGGGACCGAGCGGAAATAATAAAAGTATCCCAGGGTGTGTCGTGGCCAGGTCACGAAAGTGCAAAACGACCAACCTACCTAAAATATACCGTTCCAACGGTGATTAATGACAATGTTGAAAGTTTCTTTTTTTTTTTTTTTTTTTCCCCCAACGTTGAAAAATCGACGACGATATATTTTTCCTCGATTAATTCGAGACGCGAGCGGTTCAACTCGACGCGGTGTTTGAATAAATAAATTTTCAAGACGAAGATTTTTTTTTTTAGAAATCTTTTATCATCATAATCATCAAGAATCGAATAACGAAAAGGCTGTTGGCTCTCTATTGTGCAACATCCAATTAATTATTATTATATACGGTTTGATATAATATACCGTGAAAATATTAAATGTCCATTGTTCTCCTTGCGAAATTGTTGTTAACTATTCTTAATAATATCACGTGAACCAACACGAACGATTGTGATTAACTTCATCATTTTACGAATAAATCACATGGATATATTCATAATAACGCATTGTGTATTCCTGGTAATGCCGGGCGTAATAATAGTAAATTCGTAGATTAGAGATTTAGCATAATTAAACCGATTGGCAACATTCAATTAACGCTTCGTAAAATATTTCGTAGATAGAGGTGGAAAATGTTAGCCCGAATAACCGGACTTGAGAAATTCTATTCTACAAAATTAATTGCAATGATCGTTCGAGCCTCGTAAATAAGGAAAGAAAATAATTCTTTGCAGAGCAAAATATTCTTTCATCTAGTTTATCTACGTAAAATTACACACATTAAATCTTAATTAAGAACTATCTCTAAGATTATAAACTTGAATTTTAATTTTAACCGAACTTGAGAAATCCAATCGCAGGATCGATAGAAACAACTTAAAATAAATATATAGAAAGAAAAATCTAAAATTAGACAAATCGAGCAATTGTCTCTGACCTGTTTATCTGACATCGATGTTCGAAATACTTATATAAAGTACACGTGAAATACACGAAATTAGAGGAAAAGAAAACACATATATATACATATCGAACAAAAGATAGAGAAATACATAGCGACAATGAAGGCACTTCACAATGAAAAGGATGAATGGTTGGGGGTGCAGCTCGGATAATTAGTTTCTTGATCGGACACTGGGCGACGAAACAAGAAGAAAACAACGCTAGTTGAATACTAACGAGTATCCTGTCAACAGTTTACACCCCAAATGTGCACGACAAGACGATACAAATACAAATCGCGCAACGTGTGATGATTTGAAATAACAACTTTGGGGGTGAGAACGAGGATTTGCTTGGTATCTGTAATTAAGATAAATAGTTGTGATCTGAAAATAATGCAACAACGGAGGAAATTAACGGATTATAAAATCGATTTGATTCGAAGAATTATCTCTTTAAAAAGAAGAGGATGTTCCTGAGTATACTTCGACTTATTTCTTGTCAGAATTCAAGAGATAGAACGATCGATCGATCACGTTAATCGTAGAGAAATATAATTCCGAGACGATGAGTTTGATAAACAATACGAATAGGGATGCGGTGAAAAATTTAAATTTCAAAATTTTCGTATCGAGTATGAAACACGGTTCATTAACCCTGTAAGCGTAAGATGCGTTAAACAATATCCGCACGCGAAACATATTAATGACATTCAAGTAAGCAATATAATTATACGTGTTCGATCATCGAATATCTATCGACGGCGGCGATCAACAATGAACATAATTGGATATTAAATGTCACAGTCTGACAAATGTGCTAATTGCTGTTGAAAATGCCAATATGGAGCGCGTATCCAATGCACGTGGGCGGGTATGAAAATCGAAAGATTCGATGCAATGGCTAATAATAACCTGTATTATACGCAACATCGATAACTTCTCTTCGTGTCTCGTTAATCGTAACAAAAATCGTAAATAAAATTATCTTAAAACTTTCTTTACCTTTAAACCCCTGCTAAATAAATTTCAAAAAATAAAACTATCGAGCATTAATTACAACAACGATCTCCAAAATGTAAGATCTCCAAATGTCGATTCGTAAAAAATTTCCAAAAAATTTTCCAGAATTTTAAGAATAATTTAACATTCGACATTCGAATAACCCCTAAGTTTTAAATACAAATTCGCAGAATGGAGATTCGGGGATTCCCGCGAATCGTAAAAATTGGCACGAACGAAAATATCGTTATTCGGGTAACAAGTACTCGAGAAAGAGAGAGAGAGAGAGAGAGAGAGAGAGACGCCATGAATCAGTTACGCGCGCGAGAAAGAGGGTTAGGGGTGCATCCGAAATGATCTTAACGGCGGATAATGCGCGGATAATGCACTCGTTTAAATGCATACTAGCCGGACATTACCTCGCCCCTCGGTAAAGCCGATGAGAGGAGAAGAGCACGTGGACGAGTGTGCACTCCTCCCCCCTCCCCCCTCGTGCTTCGACGTTTCTCCCTCCTTTTTATAAAGACGTTAAAATTCCTCGAGCAACTACGGACGATAATCTCGCGCCACGGTGAAATTGCGACCGAGGAACGGTCCAATTTATGTCGCCAGCATTTTTCCACCACGAGAAAAAAACCGATCAGGGGGATCCTCTCGTTACTCGAGAAAAATTTCTCCCTGTTTCGGGTGACGAGTGAGAGGGGGAGGAAAGGAGAGAGAGAAAGAGAGAGAAGATAGGAAAATCTGGATATACATATAC